CACTATTTCTAATTACCTACCTATACTTACATAACTTTATCCTCTCTTCTTCTTCTCTAACTATTATATTTTTATGACCTACACCAACGACTAATCACACCAATCTCTCTCACTCCTCACAAAACCTACAACGACCCACAACACAAACCACAACGAGCACTACACTAATTACTATTTTCTTCCTTCATTCTCACTATATACTCACTATTTCATATTCTTATTAAATCTTGTATCCACACTATCAAACCAATTTCTTTGCGCCCAGCACAAACCACAACGACCACACAGCAACCACCCATCAAACACAACACAACAACAACACACATAAACAACACAACACAACACAACGACACACACAACCAACACACCAACCACACAACACACGACACCACAACGACCACCACAACAATACACACACACAACACACACACACACACACACAACGACAAACACAAACACACACACACCAACACACAACAACACACACCACAAACACACAACACACACAACAAACACACACACACACACAACACACACACACACACACACACACAGCACACCAACACACACCCACACACACACAAAACACACACACACACACACACACACACACACCCACCAACACACACACACACAACTACACACCACACACACAAACACACACACACACACACACACACAACACAAAACAACACACACACCACACACACCACAAACGAGCCACACACACAAAACACAACCAACAGTGAATTTTTAGAAAGACAAAAGCACCGTTCTCCGGGTCCGGAAAGTTTCGCCGGTTAAACCTGGTGGGTTCCCAACAAAAAACAAACTTTAAGGAGGAGGAAAAGTGTCGTCCCAAGGTTGTTGAGGTTTTTTTCGAAGGCAAGGAACACAAACCTAAATGAATTTTTTAGAAAGTTGTCGTCTTTTTTTTTTTTAATGGGGGTCTACAAAAAATATTTGGAAAACCAAACGGAAGTCCGACCAACACAACACACCACATCCGGACACACGTTCACTAAACCCCTTTTTATAAAATATTTTTTTACATTGGTAAGGTGATTTCATTAGCGTTAAATTTCAAAATTTAAAACTTCATAAAAAAAATTTTGACCTCATAAAAAGTAAAAATTACGATGAAACAATGAAAGGAAAAGGTCAACGAAAAAACCTTTTTTCGGTTATTAAAACGTGAAAAAAATGAAGATATTTAGAAACTCAAAATTCTCCGAAGTATGGTGATAACCTTTTTAAAAAGTTTAAATTAATTTAAATGGTATAATTATAACAAATTTTATATCTGTTTTGTCATATATATTATTTTAAGTCTAGTTTTAATCCGATACTGAAATTGTTTCGCAACTACGAAAAAAAAATTTATTAAGGTATTTAGGTCAATTATATTATTACTATACTTTACAAGTATGTGAAGTCTTCTAAGAAAATAAAAACAAGGGTGTGTTTTTGTTCCCCTTTTTATCTGCGGGTAATGTCGTCATTTTCGTTTCTATGGTCAACCTTATATATCAACTATATAATTAATTTCCTTTCGGTGGTGTAATATAAAATCTGCGTATAATGTCATTTTCTTTATATCGTTTTCTTTTGTTTTTATAACCGTTTGGTCTTATGTTTCATTCCGGTCATAGCAATTTGTTGTAAATTTCACCTTTACAATATTTTCATAACTTTCCCTCCGACAATTTGCAAAATTTGTTATACACTGGGCGAGATAGCTTTAAGTCAGCCCTTTCAGCCGTTTGCCCGAGTAAAAGTTTTATTTTGCAAACCCCTAAAACAACGTAATTTTTTTGATAAAAAAAAGCCCCAAGCCCACACAAAAACCAAACTTAAAAAATTTGTTTTGGTTTTTTTTCAGGAAACCGAAAGGTCTTTTATAAAACTTTGGAAATTAAAAGGTTTGAGTGTGCTATTTTAATTTGGTAAAGAAAATTTTCGAACATTTGCCCTTTCCTTAACTTGGTCCCTTTTTTAGACGAAAGAAGGCGTCGCGGCCGAAGGGGAGAAGGGAGGCCGAAAAGAACCTTGTAATAGACCTTAACCATTTTCGCAATTCTCAATTAAGTATTTTATTTTTTGTGCCCGTCCCCAGGCAATTTCAAACAAAAGTAGACCGACTAAAGTTAATTTTGTTTCAGAACCGAAAGTCTTATAAATTTGAACAAAGCCGTTTAAGTCTACTATTTATGTTGAAACTTCGAACATTGCCGTATTAATGTTCGCGCCTCTTGCCTCATTTGAATTGCAGTGTCGTCCGGTATTGTTGTCGGCCAACAAAGAGCACTCCCAAAGGGGGCCCTTTGTTTGCGTTATGTGTGTTTGCGTTTTTGAATGTGTTTGTGTGTGTGTGCATATGTGTGTTGTGTGTGAGAGCGACTCGAAGAGGGGTCTGGGGCGTTAGGTTTGCTTTTATAAAAGGGCGAGGCATCATAAAACTAGTTAGTCTAGCTACCTAAGGTCTCTTCCTCTTTTTGAAACTTTCCGAAAAAGGAGAGTTTTACTACTGAGCCCACTTGTCAGTCCAGTACATATATATTACACTGTATAAAGCGAATTATAAACCTCATGTTTTTGTTAGGACTATAGTAATC